ATATATATATATATATATATATATATATATATTTAAGATTTTATTTACTTATTTGACAGAGAGAGAGATCACAAGTAGCAGAGAGGAGGCAGAAGGGGGGGGCGGGAAGCAGGCTCCCTGCTGAGCAGAGAGCCTGATGTGGGGCTCGATCCCAGGACCCTGGGATCATGACCTGAGCCGAAGGCAGAGGCTTAACCCTCTGAGCCAACCAGGCACCCCAGCATCTCCTTATATTACCAGTCTTCAAAATACTGTGTTCACACTGGTGACATTTTGAGTACATATCCTTCAGTATGTTTACTTCCGTTTTATTATTTTATACATAAATACTACTTAAGCAAAATATCACAGACATTATAAAACATGCTAAATATAGAAATTTTAAGAGATGAGAAAATACTACTTTTAAATAATTTTCATTTATCAAAGGCTATAACCATTGTGCCCCTCACAAAATATTATATTAAATGATTATATAATAACATTAAAGAAAATTATGGTATCTACAATATTGTTAAAGAAAGGAATGTGAGGGGCGCCTGGGTGGCTGCTTCCCCTCTCTCTCTGCCTGCTGCTCTGCTTACTTGTGATCTCTCTCTCTTTCTGTGTCAAATAAATATATAAATAAATAATCTTTTAAAAAAAGAATGTGATTAGAAATCACATTTTTTTCTTTAAAGATTTTATATTTATTTATTTGACAGAGATAGGGAGATCACAAGTAGGCAGAGCGGAAGGCAGAGAGAGAGGGGAAGCAGGCTCCCCGCCGAGCAGACAGCCTGATGCGGGGCTTGATCCCAGGACCCTGAGATCATGACCTGAGCCGAAGGCAGAAGCTTAACCCACTGAGCCACCCAGGTGCCCCTGGAAATCACATTTTTTACATTGCTGAAGTATAGGAAGACATATGATAAATTACACATACTTAATTGTAGAACTTGATTAGTGTTGATATACAACTATATCTATAAAACCATCAGTACAATACAGAAAACAAAGATTTTTGTCATCCCCCAAAGTGTCTTCACATCTCTTTGCAATCTATCCCACCCTCCACCACCACCCCCAGGCAGCCACTGGTTTACTTTTTTAAACTACATATTAGTTTGCATGTTCTAGAATCTTATATAAATGGAATGATATAGTAGGTACTCTCTTTTGCCTGTCTTCTATTATATAGCATCATTTTGAGATGTTTTCATGCTATGGCATGTGATAGTAGCTGGTTCCTTTTTCTTTTTTTTTTTTTTTTTCACTTCTCCAACAGATTTATTTGAAAGGAATGGATTTTGAGGAGAAAAAAACATGGGGCAGAGGTATGGAATAGAAAATAAATACAAATGTAAGCTGTTTTGCTAATTGTTTTATAACCACAACAAATTTGTACAGAGAATACCCTGCACAAAACAACACAATAAAGGTTCAAAGATCGAGGTGTTCCCCTAGTCAAGGCTGAAGATTTCTGTCTCTGGTATTTGGAATTTAGGCTGCAGTCCTTGGTTTTGGATGGATCACTGGGTGTGTGACACAGTCCATGCGTTTAACCAGATTTGAACAGAAGAATGGCCACTTGGCCCAGGTAGAAGTAGATGAAGTGTTTGGTTTCATGTGTCACATAACTACCGAAGTTCCTCCCCACGATGCAGTGCCAGGTGGGGTTGTACTTCTTGTCAAACTCCTTTTTAATATGGGCCGCAATGTCCTTCTCTATGTTATATTTCTCCAACGCCTGAGTTGCACACTCCACCGAGTCCTGTTGCATCTCCTCCGACATGTTGGCGTTTTTGATCACGGCCTTTCGGTCGCACATGGTTACCGAGGAGCAGGGGGCGACCAACTGCAACGGTCTCCTGGGGGAGGGGCTGGCGACACTCACACCCGGCGGGAGCTATGGTCGCTACCAAAGCTGTGGCGCATCTCACTGGTTCCTTTTTCTTGCCAAGTAGTATTCCTTGTATGGATATACCACAATTTGCTTATCCATTCCCTTTTTGATAGGCATTTGGGTTCTTTCCAGTGTAGGGCTACTATGAACAAATAATGAGTAATTAATAACTAGTAAGATAACATTTTTAGGAACATATAATGTATAATAAAATTTAATGTGAAATGTTAAATGAATACGTATGTGTAATGTGAGCTATGTAATGTGTAAATAAAAATATAATGTGATTATATAATATATAATATATGATGATTCTATAGTAATATAGAGCATGTATTCAGTATGTTCATATATAATAAATGCCTTGTTAACAGTCAAACATATCAAAAATATATGTATATACACATGTACACATATTTATATATTTAAATACATAAATATACACACACAGTTATATTTAACATGTATGTCTTTAATGGGGCATTTAGTCCCCATTCCTTGCAGTCCTCTACCCATATTTGCTCTGGGTAGCACATTCAAAAAAGGTAGTCACCCACATGAAAAAATGTTCATCCTCACTAGCCATTAGGGAGATTCAAATTAAAACCACATTGAGATACCACCTTACACCAGTTAGAATGGCCAAAATTAGCAAGACAGGAATAACATGTGTTGGAGAGGATGTGGAGAAAGGAGAACCCTCTTACACTGTTGGTGGGAATGCAAGTTGGTGCAGCCACTTTGGAGAATAGTGTGGAGATTCCTCAAGAAATTAAAAATAGAGCTTCCCTATGACCCTGCAATTGCACTACTGGGTATTTACCCCAAAGATACAGATGGAGTGAAAAGAAGGGCCATCTGTACCCCAATGTTTATAGCAGCAATGGCCACGGTCGCCAAACTGTGGAAAGAACCAAGATGCCCTTCAACGGACGAATGGATAAGGAAGATGTGGTCCATATACACTACGGAGTATTATGCCTCCATCAGAAAGGATGAATACCCAACTTTTGTAGCAACATGGACGGGACTGGAAGAGATTATGCTGAGTGAAATAAGTCAAGCAGAGAGAGTCAATTATCATATGGTTTCACTTATTTGTGGAGCATAACAAATAACATGGAGGACATGGGGAGATGGAGAGGAGAAGGGATTTGAGGGAAATTGGAAGGGGAGGTGAACCATGAGAGACTATGGACACTGAAAAACAACCTGAGGGTTTTGAAGGGGCGGGGGGGTGGGAGGTTGGGAGAACCAGGTGGTGGGTATTGGGGAGGGCACGTATTACATGGAGCACTGGGTGTGTGGTGCAAAAACAATGAATATTGTTACACTGAAAAGAAATTTTAAAAAAAGATAGTCACCCAGGCTTCACCCCAGAGAAGCAAGTTCTAAGACCTGAGGGTCAGGTTGGGACTAAGGGGCTGGCATTTGAAACCAGGACACCAATCTCCCTGTGCTGGCCAAGGACTCCTATCTCTGGCTGCTTAAAGCCCAAGAGCCAGAAGGGAATTGGGAGCAGAGCCAACTCAGCCAAAAAGCATTCTCCAGGCCTGGCATGGCCCTCCTGGAGGTCAAAGTTGAGAGATTCATGAAGAGAGCTCACTCTTGGACCCTTGGAAAGGAGTTGGCAGCTCAAGCCCACCAGGAGAGGAAAAGGTAAAGGGAGATATGACCCTGGACCCTCCAGTTTCTCCTCAGAGACACCTGTGGGGCTTGAGCAAACTTAGCCTGAATCCCCCTGATGTTCAGGGTCCTCTCTCCATACTCTGCCTGCTTGCTGTAACTGGAGACCGTGGTCCCCACCCCTTCCCATGCTGCCATTTTTCCTTTTTTATTAAGTTTAGCCTACATATAATGATTGTTAGCATATCAGTGTGAATCCATAAAATGTTAACAAGAATATTTAATATGTTTGTTTGATGCCCCTTATAGCAACAGGGCAGCTTAATCTCCCTGATGAAAAAAGCCTCACAGTTACCCAACAGGGCTTACCCGCCAAAAACATGATGCCACCTATAGGCCCCCAATTTAGTCCCTGCTTATCAGGGGTTTAGAAGGAAAGAGATTTCTGCATTATACAGACAAAATCAGGAAAAATGCCAATGGACCTTGCTTTACCCAGTGGCTTTGTACAAAATGAAGTATGGTCAATTGAATCCTAATTTTCTCATTACTTACTTTGTAATTCCTGAGATGTGTGCTCTTTATTCCTGCCAGGTCTGGCTCCTGAGGCCTCCAATTTCCACTGTCCACCGTCCTCATCCAGTCAGGTCTGGAGTACAAAACCTGAGGCAGTCACTTAACATCTTGGTATCAATTCCTTTACCCTTAAAATTCGTCTGGAAGCACCCAGGCTGTTGAAAGCAGAACACGGCGCTCAAAAATGTCTGGGGTTCTTTCAGCTCCAAGATCCGGGACTGAGCTGTGAACACACTCGTGACTATTTCAGAGAAGGGGTTTTCTAGCATGTTTCCAAGCAGCAGAGCCAGACTGAATCACTCATCCATCCTTCCTCTCCTTGACACCTGCTGTGTGCCTGAGCAGGCTGGATTGAGTCCTCACATGCCCTACCCCCAGAGGGGCTCTCAGCTGGGGGACGCTCTCCCTAGGGTTGGTTCCATGACAGGGGGTATAGACAGAGCTTCCCTCCAAGGGAAGAAGCCTGATTTCCTCTCCTGAGAAGGAAGCAGGAAACCTGAGTCGTAGCCCAGCTCTGCTTACAAGTGTAGGGGCACAATCCCTTCTCTCTAAGGGCCTTGCTCTTCGTCTGTGCAAGGGGTAGGGTGGGCAGGTTGGAGAGAGGGTCTACAGACCTTCTCAGAGCCTTTGTGCTGGGTCATGGACTAGATCCAACATGGTGGCAGGGGAAGGGCTGCTAGGGACAGACAGGGAGCCTTGAAGACGGGCTGTCTTCAAACAGCAAATATCTTGTGTGCACTTCCTGACAGGACCCCAGCAACCAGAGGATTTGATAAATGCATGTACCTAAGGGCCTTCATGGGGTGCTTGATTTGTGGTTGGTGATCACCAAATGTGAGTTTCCTTTCTCCCTCCCAGAGGGTGCAGCCTGCACGTGCCCACATCAGCCAGACACCATCCCCCCATTGCAGTAGGATTCTGGGTCCCTGGAGGATGTCTGCCACTCCTAACAGGCAGGCTCATCTCCAGATGGGGCAAGGAGGTGGGGTCTTTGAGGCTCCTGAGGGTCTGGAGCAGAAGGACGTCCAAGGATGAGAAACAACTGAAATTTGCATACATTGCTATTGGCGGTTTCTTATAAAGTTCAACACACATTTACCCTGTGATCCAGTTTCTCCACTCATTGGTGGAGAAATAAAAACACAGACATAAAAACGTGTCCTCACACACAGACTTGCACAAGAGTATTCACAGCGCTCTTATCTATGATAGCCGAAAACTGGAAACCACCCAAATGCCCGCCAGCAGAAGCATACATTAACAAATTGTGGTACGCCCGTACAATGCAACACTACCCAGTGTTGCAAAAAGGAGTGAACAAATGTCACGGACAAGAACAAGGATGAATCTAAATAACATTATGCTAACCAGAAGAAGACAGGCCAAAAAAAGAACATACCGTATAACTACATTTACCTGATAGTCTACGAAGGCAAAACCAGCCTCTGATGATAGAGGTCAGAATAGTGCTTAATTCTGGAGTAGGTTGTTTTGACTGGCAAGGGACATGAGGGACTTTTCTAGAACAGTGACCCTTGCTCAGGGTCACGGTTACGACAGGTGTCTGTTCGTCAGGTTGTACAGTCATGATTACCGTTCTTTACTGCATGTAGGTTATTCCTCAATAGGAGAAATAAATGTCTAGTGTGGGCCCTGGGCACGGGGCAGCTGCGGGGAGAAGTGGGCTGAGCCTCCACCTGCACGCTAGGACTCCCCACGTCCAACACGTCCTGCAGGACCCTGGCTGGGGATTCATCCTCCTCGTTCAGGTATCAGTCACAAACGAACGCCTAGCTCACCGGCTGGTGACTGAGCTCGTTAACGGGTAAGTAGAGTGGACAGCATGGAGGCTTGCGAAGCTTTTCCCACGGCACACCAGCCGATCACAGCCAATGGGCCACATCCTGCCCTCTAGTGAGCTGGGCCACCTTTCAGGGTTGGACCCAGGGCTCTTGTGAGGCCCTCAGACTGCCCGGCATGTAGGGCCTGAAGGCCTGCTGTGGCCAACCTTGCTGGGGCGGGGTGCTCAGCACAACCCACTCCTGTGGGCCCACTCTGGGGCAGGAGGCCACAAGGTTGGACCCCAACAGACCTCAGCCACTGTACCCACTCTGGGGTCACCTGTCTGTGTTTTTTTCTGCCCTGTTTTTCCTCAAGCTCGGCCTGTCCGCTCTTCCCTCCACCCAAGCACCAGCCTTCCCAGATTGCCCCCCTACCTATTGCCTTCTGAGCACCGATTCTATGGAAGAAATGATCCCCAGGGACGTACCCCCACACCTGTGCCAAGACATGGTTTCTGCTCGTTGGAACAGACCACACACACACGCGCACACACGCACACACCCCCACACCCCAGGAGAACCCCCCAGCTAAGGCATGGACTTACAGGTGTGCACGGGTGCCTGTAGGCATGGGCCTACAGACAGCTGACCCTGGGATTCCAGTCACCATTACTGGGCATCTATCTACTAAACCTAAACCCTGGGCCATTTTGGATGAGTGAGGGCTTGTGCCCCGCCCCCAATACGTGTGGGTGGTCTGTTCGCACTCTGGCTCATTCGGTTCTCACCACAGCCCTGGGACTTAGGCAGCATGCTGCCCCCTTTACAGATTGTGAAACAGAAGCGCTGAGAAAAATCACCTGCCCAGACATTCTCTAACGTAACCCCCAAAGTGCCTCAGTCAGGCAGGAGGCCCCTCCCCCCTCCCCTCTCCCCCCTGCTCCCTGTCTCTACCGACCCTCTTCCACTCAGAGCCTTCTTTGGGCAAAGGAAAGTGAGCCCAGGGCCTCCTAAGAATGGGCTTTTCTTGGTTTGCCCTCTCTTGCTC